AAAATTCAACTTCCTCAAAGTGAATCACTTTTCCCCTTGTTATTTAGTCAGTTATCTGCACATGTAATCACATAATGCAGAGCCTTAAATTTGGGTGTTGTGCTTAACTTCGCTATTTTTTTTTTTTTAACTGGGGATTGGTCACAGCGCCTTGTGCATTTAGGCAAGCACTTTACCACTGAGATATACCTTGGCCCTTTTAAACTTTTATTATGAGACAGCACAGAAACTAGTTAACTTGTCTATTCTGGCCTAAAACTTGCCATCTCTTTGCCTAAGCTTCCCAAGTAGCTGGGATTATAGGAGAGGTCTGGGATCACACAGCTGTGTCCCACTTCAGGCAGCTCCCATTTTTGACATAAGCTAGATCAATAATCCCTGTCTCCTAAATCTCTCCCTGGTTCAGCTCCTTTTCTTCATCTATCAGCACCCTACCTATGGACCAACACCTTGCTATTTTTATTATGTAATTACGAGTTCATGCAAGGCCCTGTCTTCACTCCTGCCCTTCTGCATCCCCTTTTCCAGATGGGAGCCTGCATGATTTTGGGGTTGCATAACTCTAATCGTATGCACCTGCTTTGGTTGCTCTCATTGCTGTGATGGGAAAGTGAAAGCTTTGCATGATCCTTCAGACCCCAAATGCCTCATTGGACCTTTGAGCTGCACCTGACACTGTTCTCTCCTACCCTTTGACCTAAGTGCCCTCTTTTGGTCCACCCCATAGAAATACTTGGTGGTTATGATTTGCTTTGTTACAACAGTGAAAATTCTTAAAACACTTCCAGTTTCTCCCTCATATTATCTGAACCTCAACTACCCATCTTTGCATCCTGCATGTTTCTTTGTTTTCTTCCCAATCAGGAAAATCTGTGTAAATTCCAAATGCAGTTCTCTTCTGGAAGACTGCACTGCTCGTTTCCTGTGCATAGGACCCTCTCTGGGAAATGAGATGCATGTAATCACAACATTCAGAGAGGCTGAGGCAGAAGGAATGCCAAGTTCGAACCTAAACTGTGCAGCTTAGGGATTTAGTGAGACCCTGTCTCAAAATGAAAAATACAAAGTGCTGGGAATGTAGCTCAGCATGAAGGTCCTGGGTTCAATCCTCAGTACGGGGGGTGGGGTTGGGGTGTGAGCGGTCGGGGGGTGAAAGAAAAGGAAAGAGAAATAGAAAAAAATACTTTAGTTTTATCTGCCTACAAAACACGATGAAGGGATTAATTTCCCTTTTATAGCCTTACTTCTTTCAAGAAGTCTTTTAAGTTCTTGTCTACTGAGCTTATTGCCTTCAGTAAAATAAGTAGATGAAGCAGGTGTTGAGAGCATCTCTTTAACTTTTCCAGGAATTAGTTGTCATACCTAGCTGCAAGTGGGAAAATGGAGTCTGTCTGAGTGGTCTTTTGCTCAGGTAAAAAGTCTTTTACTAGGAAAAGAGAGAAGTCAGGCTTTAGGGAAATGAATAGTCTGTCACAATATATGTATGCCCAGATTTTCAGAATATTTTATGTATTATAGTTTTTAGAAACTTTATTGCATTGTTCTGAATAGATGATGCATCATAATGCAAATTCAGAAGGCAAAAAGGAAGTTTCCCTTTTTGGTTCAATCCCCTGAGTATATTTCTTCTCCTTTGAGAAAATCTGCATTACTCTTATAATTTATAATTATTAAACTTTAGTTACATTAGTTTCTCTAGATCACAGTTTTCTTATTTTTAAGTTTCCTTGATTTTCTTTATAGTTTTCTTATTCTCTAACTGGCTACCAAAAATTTTCCACAGTCAGGTACCATATTGTATGCTCTCATTTTCCTACCTGTGGTAACTAATTGCCATATAAATAATAGGTAAGAAATAAATGTTGATATAGACTATTTTATTCAGAGAATCAACAATGTTAAAATTTAGTAGCAGAGCTGGGTGTGGTGGTGCACGCCTGTAATCCCAGCACTCGGGAGGCTGAGACAGGAAGATTGCTGTGAGTTTGAGACCAGCCTGGGCTACCTAGTGTGTTCCAGGTCAGTCTCAACTACATAGTGAGCTGTCTCCAAAAAAAAAAGGGTCATACAATAATGGTGTTTGACTTTGTGAGCCACTTACTTGTTCTCTATCACAACTACTCCACTCTACTGTTACAGTGGGAAAACATTAGTATGTAAACAAATGAGCATGGCCATGTTCTCATGGCCTGTACTCCTCTGTGTAGAAATAGGAGTAAACTTAGATTTGTAGGACTCTGTTCTCATGGAGCATGAAAATGGAAGTTAGGTAGATTAGTGCTAAGGCTTAGGATGCATTACAATTTGTCTGTTGTTTTATTATATTTTGTCTTATGCTCTGTTTGTTTTCATATAAAAGGGTAATGTACCTTTTTGGGTCTGGTATTACATTGTTATCTCATTTGTATCTTATGTCAACATGCAAAATCAATTTGATTATTGTTGCTACAATAGTTTACAAATAAGAAAACTAAAATGTAAGCTGTATACTTGGTCCTTGAATTTGAGTGTTTGATTCATTACTTGCATTATAATTATTCCTGTAAACATGGGGATTCTGTGAGACTTGAATAGCAAAATCAGACTTTGTAGGTTTGTTATGCAATGTCACGATACAGAGTAGAACCATACTGAGTGGGCAGAGATCAGAAGGAATTAACAAGCCTCTGATAGCATCACCCTCAGCTTTGTTATGCTGAGGAAGCTTGATAGAATTTTTGGATTTAAAATGCCCCATTCACATTCTCTTTTGTTCCTGTTTACCATTTTTGTGATGTAGGTGACCAAGATCAAATACTGTTTTCTTCATGAAGCGTTTCTGTATCATAGAACTTTGCTGTATCATTTGTTCTTGTGGCAGTTATCCATTTTAACTTTTCTTTGAAATACTAATTGTCAGCTAGGCTGGTATTTTTTCCTACTAGATCATTTATTTGTTACATACCCCCTAATAAGTACTTATTAAGGCATACTTGACATAGACTTCTTTTGTATATTTAGTTTGATGAATTTTGATGTACCTATATAACTGTGAATCCATAATGACAAGATTCTGAAAAAAACCTTTTTTTTTGGAAGTTCTGGGAATTAAACCTAGGACCTTCACACTGAGCTACATCCCCAGCCTTGTTGTTGTTTTTCCTTTTTTTAAATATTGAGACACAGTCCTGTTAAATTTGGGCTTGAGCTTGTGATCTGTGTGCCTCCGCTTTCCACTGTGCTAGGATTATAGGTGTGTGCCACAGTTTGCCTGGCTAGGATGCCAAACATTTGTCCCACTGCCAGAAGTTTCCTAACAATCTGTGTCATCACTTTCCCTCTAACCACCTTCGAGTCTGACCATGTGATCTGCCTCCTGGCATGGTTTGCACTTTCTGAAATTTGATGTTAATGGGGTTTTATTGTATCCATTACTTTTGGCCTTGCTTCTTCAACTTGGTATAATTATTCTGTTGGCCCTTGTTATTTCATATTGGTGACTCGTCTTTTCTTATTGATGCCTAGGATTCAGTTGCATGGATAAACTACATTTTGTTAGTCCATTCCCTTGTCAAAGGGCATTTAGGTTGTCTCCAAGTTTTAAATAGGCTTTTGTAATAGGCTACTATTATGAGTCTTTGTGTAAACCTACATTTTTATTTAACTTGGACACACACTTAAGAGTGAATTGTTTGAATCACATGATGAGTATATGTTTCTTTTCCTGGAAACTGCCCAAACTCTTTCTACTAGATGTACCATTTTATATTACCACTCTAGGTTGTGACCATTCCATTTATTCCACATTTTTGCCAACACTTGGTATTATTCATCTTTTAATTTTTAGCCAGGTAAATTGGTGTATAGTGGTATCTCAGTGTATTCTTTGACAATAATGATGTTGAATATCTTTTCCTATGCTTACTTAAGATTTGTGAACTGTTCAGAACTTTTTTCTTTTCTTTTTTGGTGGTATGGAAAATGTAGCCCCCACCCCATTTAGGCTCTTTTTTAAAAACTTGGTTTGTTTGTTATCTTATAATTGTGTTATAAAAAGTATTCTTTATATATTCCCAATACATTTTCTAATCACGTATATATGTGGTTGAGATAT